GCTGGAGTGATAGCACAGCGGGTAGGGCATTTGCCTTGCACGCAGCTGACCCGGGTTTGAATCCTCCGCCCTTCTTGGAGAGCCTGGCAAGCTACTGAGAGTATCTGACCTGCACAGCAAAGCCTGGCAAGCTACCTGTGACGTATTTGATATGCCAAAAACAGTAACAACAAGTCTCACAATTTGTTGTGAGATGTTACTGGTGCCCGCTCGAGCAAATCGATGAACAACAGGAGGACAGTGCTACAGTGCTATTTTTCTTTCTGTAATTACAAAAAAATTAACAATATGCTAAGATGCAAGTTCGACCATACAGGTAAGGAAATTCCAGATATCCAACTTAACCAGCGATTTTCCCAAGAAAAAACACAGGGTCTGGAGCGATAGCACAGTGGATAGGACATTTGCCTTGCACGTGGCCGATCCGGGTTCGATTCCCAGCATCCCATATGGGCCCCTGAGTACCGCCAGGAGTAATTCATAAGTGCAGAGCCAGAAGTAACCCCTGTGCATTGCCAAGTATGACCCAAAAAGCAAAAAAAAAAAAAGAAACAAACATAAAACTATTTGGAAAGCAATAAACACACTATTTAAAGAAAGTTATCTGGAAAAAAAAGAGTTCCTTGAAAAAAAATGGTGATTCTAATGACAGAAAAATATATAACAATCATGGAACATCTTCTTATGTCAGAAAGCAAAGAAGCTTTTGAGATACTGAAAGGTTTTCCATTGACCAAAAAGAATAACAATAGCTTGACACACAAATATATAAATTTCAGGAGTTTAGCTTAAACAAAACATTCATGACCTCTATGGTTGCTAAGATCTCAACTTATCTTAAAACTGGGTAAATGAAAGAATCAAGTTTTTCTTCCTTCCCTTTTCTCCATCAGTTTTTTGCACTTAAAGAGTTCACAAAGAAATGCGATTTTCTGAAAGAATTACAGGTTTGAAAAGAGGCAGGACAAATTTGGGAAGTCACCCAAATTACAATCCCTAATGAAATAATAAAAGCTTAGCAGTGGCTTCTTTAGCCATAAATAAAATAGATACAGATAAAATATCTCTAGGAAACTTTATAAAGGATGGACCAGGTTGGTAAAACATGAAGCCCCACTGATCAATTTCAACGTTACTAAAAGTGGGGCAAGGCCTTCAAATGGGAGATATGGGAAGTGTATATAATCAAGAAGAAATATTAATGCAGTGAAGTGAAACTGAATGTGGTCAGTCTTCTAGATCTGACCCTGTTGTAGAAAATATAAGAGATAATTGGCTGGAGTGAGAGCACAGCGGGTGGGGCGTTTGCCTTGCACGCGGCCGACCCAGGTTCGATTCCCAACATCCCATATGGTCCCCTGAGCACCACCAGGAGTGATTCCTGAGTGCAGAACCAGGAGTAACCCCTGAGCATCGCTGGGTGTGACCCAAAAAGCAAAAAAAAAAAAGAGAGATAACATAGGTGTTGGAAAAGATCACAAAGATGCAATCTACTAAATTCAAAATATGGAAAATTTTACAAGGCCCAGTTTCCTAGTATATAGTGGCAAAGAAAAAAGGAGGTGGAAAAACATTTGAAAAAAATACCCCCCAAAAATACCCTTGAAAGTCTCATTTAAATGCAACACTGTTGACTTAGTTTGATCAAACAAATCACAAGAGGGCTTTTTTCAATACTGAGCAATCTTAATAAAGATGGGCTATCATATTATAAGCTTTATTTTTATTTTGTTATACATAATAATGGTAATGTGATTTTATTACTAATAGAAAATACTTTCTTAAAGAGCTCAAAAAATAGCTCTAACATATGTATAGAAATTTAATTAGAAAACTGATATGTGGGCAAATAATTTGACATGCAGATAGCCTCTTTTCAAGAAAAACATTTTATCTTTTTAATAGAGAGTGGAATTCCAAATCACTAAAAACAGTTACCCAACTTCCTACCTTCAAAACAAGGTATTAAGAACAACTCAGCTGGTTAAATGTCAGACAATCAAGTTTTGTTTCTGCTTCAGAGTGTTTTTTTCCATTTAAAATATAAACATATACTCCGCATACAATACTTTAAAAGGTCACAATATATAATTATACTATGTTACTATAAATATTGCATTAGAAAACTCACAAAACAGCAGAACTGAAGGAGAAGCACATTTCATGATCTTCTTGAAGCACTGAATTTATTTTTTTTCCAATGGCTTTACTTATAGATGTCTTAAGTTTCTTAGCTAATTTTTTTGGTGTGTTGGTTATAGAAGATTCTTCCATACGGCAGCTATAAACTTCCACCTTTATTTGGAAGTCCGATCTGGCTTCATCACTAAAACAAAGGCATTTGAAACATTGGAAATTTAACTCAGTAGAAATTAAAATTAGAGAATTCTTTTGATGTTTTTATCACATTAAAAATCAGCATTTGAAATAGGTTTCTGTTAATATATGTTAATGAGATAGAAGTTCTTGTGTTTATTTCCTTCTAAATGACCCGAGTCACTGCAACTTCCACAGCTACCAGCTTCTAATATAGGGCACTCTAAAATCAACTTAATCAACATATTGATAGGTAACTATATTATTTACACAAAAAGACTAATATTTTTGTCACTTGGTTGCCAAATTTCCTTTTCATTCTTTTAATATAAACATTTTTAAGTACTTACATATGTGCTTCTTTGAAAACACTATTCCTCATTTGGAAAACAATGGGAAAGAAGCAGACTTTTTCTTCTGCTGAATCTTATTGCTCATTTATTTTTCATACAGTCACTCATGGTTCACTGCTCCCCTCACTATTGTGGCCCAATTTTGTACTAAATGTCTCAACATTTCATTTCTTGACTATATATAAATACATACATATGTATATTAGACATCTACATATATAAATGAAATTAAAAAAATAGATACTTCATGGCATGAACATTTGGAAGACACTGATATCTGATAATCTCCCTTTTCAATGCAGCTTAAAAGGTATTAACTACGCCTTAGCCCAATTTGCACATATTCAATAACAGCAAATGCTAAGACCATTGTTGTCCTATTTCTGACACAATAAGGCAACTTTAGCATAAAAGATTGTGGTGGTGATACAAACAATAAATAAATTTAAAGCTGCAAAAGTAGACCATCAGTAGCAGATGTTTGTAGATGTTCCCAGCAGATGGGCCTCAGAGGTTAAAAGAGCAAGATAGACTTTTAAAGGTTTAAATGGTCGATCTATAGGAAAGTCCAAGGAATAATTCCCAGATAGCTCTTAATTTATTATTTTGCAACTTTTAAATGTACAGCATTACTGGTAATGACCAACAGATGTCAATATTTAAAAGAAAACCAGAGATTCATTAAATATTGAATAGTTATATAAAACAATCATAAGAAAAGCATTTATTTAGCTTAATTTAGAACATCTGTTAGCAGCTATTTTTAGAATAGTTTAAAATATTTTAAAAATTTTAAAAAGACAAAATCATGTTTTCTTGTGCTTTTTTTCTTAAAATTTATGATTTTTTTCTTTGTAATAAAACAAGAGCTAAATATGAACAAGGTAACTTTGACCAAAAAAAAAAATCACCAGCAATAACTGATAATGTAAATAAATGTTATTTCAATACAAAAGAAAATTATTGAATCTTATTTACATATTTGGCAATAATTTGGGATTCTAAATAAATTCCTTTGATTCAACAGAACTTATATGAATATCTATGCTTTTATTAATAATTCAAAATGTGCATTTTATTATGTTACACAAATACTTAAGGGACACTGAATAGAAGCCACAAAAACATGGTCTGTGAATGTTTTCTCAATTTTATGTGAGTGGCAAAACTAGTAATCTCAAACTTCAACTCTATAATTTAAAATAGCGAAAAAGAAGATTAAGAAATATTGTTTGAGAGTTTGGTTACACTAATTTGCTTTTATAGTAAGCAATATAAGTATTGATATTTAGATACAAAAAGTATCTGAAATTCCGAAGATATACAAATAACACACTGTTCTGAATCAATAAAACCTTTGAAAGAGTACAGGAAAAACTTAAGTTAGTTAAAAATGATTTCTATGGCTACCTAAGGAGTTCTTTCTGGTTCTGTATTATGACCACAATAAAATGAGTCAGTCAAAGAGCAGGGGCAATAAAAACAACCCTGAGGATCACCCAGTTTTTTATTGTTTTGGAGTACACGAAAGAAGTACACCATCAGAAAAAGAACATCCTCTAATTTAACTCAAACATTTTCCCAGTGGAACCTTTATCTGTACCATCTTACAAAGTTGTTACACAATTATAGCATTTCTGAATCCAAAATAAAAGGTGTAAGAATCTGCTTATGCTCAAATTACCTATATAAAATGCTACTGAAATTATATGCCATTGTAGCCATGGCTTAGTCCTAAAACTATAAATCATGATCACGATCACGATCACGACCACCCTGTTGTTCGTCGATTGCCTTGAGCAGGTGCCAGTAACGTCTTCTTCGTCCTAGCCCTGAGATTTTTTTTTTTAAGTGCCATATTCAAGGCTTTTTCAGGGTTAGGAGAATGAGACCCATCATTGTTACTGGTATTTGGCATATTGGGTATACCACGGGGAGTTTGCCAGACTCTGCCGTGTGGGCATGTTACATTTGGTAGCCTGCCAGTTTGACCAAATTAGGAATGAGATGATAAGATGTCGCGCGGCCGCATTTGCGGCCGCGCGCTTCCGGGAGCTGAGTGTGATGATCTCTGGATCATACTATAAATACTTGTAAATATTTTTAAATTATCTTATTCTATTAGTTACTACTAATAATACATAATTTTATTTCACTTGGGATAATTTCAAATGCAGAAATTGTATTTTCAAAAATAATTTTTAATTTTCTTAAAGTGAAATATTCAAATGATTCTCAATACTTAAAGATGTGACTGCTTCAAAAATAATCCAGAGATACACAATTTAAAGAAATAGAATTTTAGGTATTCTAGCTAAAGTTAAAAAATACTTACAATATTGTTACATTTTCAAAGCATATGTCTGTTACTGTTTTATCCACAATCACCATGTCAGTATCAAAAATTTCAGCTCCCATTTTGAACAAACAAAATATGGCATAATGCTGTGATCCTAGTGAAGAAAAACACTTTTAGTAATGCTTCATATGATACATCATGCCTATCTTCTTTCAAACTTGAACGTGAAAAGTATTAAAAATTTGTTAATAGATTATTTTCATACATTGAGCATTTTAACCTTAACTTTTATAGTGACTAGTTCCACCATGTATGTTCCCAGTTAGAACACAAGTAAACCAGGGAGTATCAAAAATCAAAGCTAAAATATATAGTCCTCTCAGCAGTCTAAAGGAATACCAAGATCATACATTCTATGCCTAGGTAGCTCTTTAAACTTGAATTAAGATAATTTAATTTTGTCAACACCATTATTACCACTGTCATTTTGGTTTCAAACTTACTTAACAGAAGAAGTTTTCTCTTGTCTATCCTAAGTTAAGAATAGGCACATCGAGCCTGACAAATATTACAGTGGGCAGGATTATTCCCTTTCACGCAGCCAACCCAGGTTTGATCCCTGGCACCACAAATGGGTCCCCACAGCATCCCTAAACATAATTTCTGAGCAAAAAGCCAGGAAAAAGCTCTGAGCACTGCGGGGCGTGGCCCCTCTCCCCCAGAAGAAAGTAAACACACTAACAACAGCCAAGATTTCCTACAAACAGAAAGGAAGAAAAAAAATAGTAAAATAAATATGTGAAGACATAAAACACAGCTGCTGGGCCTTTTAATTTGGTGGGATTATTTAAAAAGTATTAGGTGATTTAAGGTCGAAAGCCTCATTATTGAGAAATATAGTTCTCCAAAAGTACATATTCTGTACAATAATAAGAAAAAAATGTACTGAATTCCCACATGTATTTCTCTATAAAGTAAATTATATTTCCTAATTGAATAACGAGTATACTAACTTGATTTTGGCCTCTTCACATAAAACTAATTATGCTCAACATGATTCAGTTTTTAAAATATGAGGAACAAAGTTATCACAATAGACAAGAAAAATAAAGGATTAGCATTTCTTTTCTCCTTTGCCTCTAACAAGCGAGAAAACAGTTGAGGTTAATTTCCATAACCTAAGCAATACATAGATTTGTGAAGACTATATATAGCCACAAAATGCTGAAAGGGAGGTAGGAGGAATCAGGTGAAGAAAGGAAAATCCTATTACATCCTTTTTAATTAATCTCAAGTAACTAAAAAGGCAGAAAAGGTCTCTCAGACCCTGGCAAACTGAAGAGAAATGTTGCTTTATCTCCTTAATAACCAACTTCTTTTTTTTCAACGTTTTCTTCCCTACAGCCCCTATTTACTTTCTTTACTTAGGATGCTTCCAACAACTGGAAGTACATTAAATATGCATTATCTCAACATCATGCATTACAACATATTTATCTTTTAGAAAAAGATAGTTAACAAGATTCAACTTATTATCAAATGACATTAATTTCAGTGTGCAGTTTTTTCACCCAACAATTATAATCTTCATATACACTAAAGAAAATATTTCAATTACAAATTGAAATAAAATATACCTTACCTTCTTTATTGCTGAAGTGATCAGAGTCTTTCCACATTAACGGTATTCGAATATCTACAAAGAAGAGGCAAAGAAACCAGTAATAATTTTGATAGATTTTGATTCTTATAATGAAATTCCATAGTGCATTCTAATCATAAGAGCCAATGTAATCTTTTATTATTTAAATATTCCAACAGGTGACATATTCTCTTAAAAATAATTTATTTATGGAATAAAAAAATCTCAATGATTATTTAAAATAATTTACTGAGTAAATATCCACCAAAAATTTCTCAAGAAATTAAGGTCTGTAATAAGTTGATGCTACCATATTGATGGCATAAAATTGGTGAATTATTGGACACTCAATGTTGAATTTCTACTTGGGGTGGAAAGCAGCAACAACTATAGGTCGAATTCATTTCAAGATCATAAATAATAGAGTTTAGAACTTTATGCAAACTTTAAGGCTAAAGAAAATTTAGTGACTCATTGAAGACTACTGGTTGTAGGAAAAGACCTAACTTTTAACAAAACAAAGCCAAGTTTATTCCATTAAAATTTCATTTTTCTACAACAGAATGCGTACTTTCACATTGCAAACGGCAGCATTTTCTTCAAGAAATAAGACTGAAAGAAGAAATACACTACTTCTTTTAGTCTAAGAAAAGAGCATTTGGTCTATAAATGGCCTGAACACATTTTATTCACCTATACATCCTTCAAACTCTCAACAAAGTATTTCAGTAATTAGTTTTACAGAACAAAAAGTTTTCCAAGTTTCCTCCATTCTTCCATTTAACTTTCTAAAAGTGTACTTAAAAGTAGTGATTTTCTTCTGACATTCTTGTATATTTTCAAATTTAAAGGACATGGTTCCATCAAATAGGCTAAGATGTGTGGTCGAGAGTGTAACACAGGCAACAGCAAACTAGAGTAAATATTTGTGATTATTTAGAGAACAAAAAAGTACAAACTGTATAAACACGTCATACCTTAATTTCAATTCGTGAAAAGAAAATTCTGTTGTAGTCATTACTCTATTAAACTGATGAAGTTGCTATGCAAATTTATTTATTTATTTATTTATTATGGGGGGGGTAGAGATGGGATTTAGGCCACCCAGTGCTCAGAATACATGTTTCTGGGAACTAAACAGGGGCAAACTGTATATAAGGCCAGTGCTTAAACCCCTGTACTAACTGTTTGGCCCCACTGGTGCTTTTTCTTTTGGGGGGTGCCTATGAATTTTGTGACTTTCAGATAATTGAAGCGGGTAGGGCATTCGCCTTACACGCGGCCAACATGGCCGACCCGAGTTTGACTCCTCCGCCCCTCTCGGAGAGCCCGGCAAGCTACCGAGAGTATTCGATATGCCAGACACAGTAACAACAAAGTCTCCAATGGAGACGTTACTGGGCCCGCTCGAGCAAATCGACGATCAACGGGAGGGCCTTTACCTTTACCTTTACCAGATAATTGAAAATATTTATGAACATAAACTATAGGTCCATATTAGTGACATACTTTTATATCTACCTTTTTATTTAGAATTTTTTGAAAACTATTAATACATATTTCAATTTCTTTCTAGAAAACTTTTCTATTACTCCTCATACCTGTTCTGTCCAATAAGTATTAGAGCGGCCATCTCTGGGCTCCGTTAGGAGTTTCACTAAAAATTCATTAAATTTTTCCCATATACGCTGAACACTTTACACAGAAATCATACAATTCTCTAAAGCTTAATATTATTTTGTGGGAAAATAACAAGGCTTTAATTAATTACATTTGTATGTTTTGATTAATAGAAAATTGGTAAGACATTTATTGGCCTTTATTCAGTGAATCTAAACCCATCGTTTCTCTTTCTCTCTTTAACAGGTTTATGGCTTTCACCTTTGAAAGCAAATTATTTAATTTATGTGAGAATTTGGGGAGAGCTAAAAATATTTCATTTTGTATAATTTGGAGGTCATACTCCCGGTGCTCTGAGACTATTCCCACTTCTGTAGTCACAGGGTTATGGGTTATTCCAGGCAGAGCTTAGGAGGACCAAGCAGCGTCAGGGGTTAAACCTGATCTGGGCATCCTACATACAAAGCATGTGCTAAGTTTCTTGAACTATATCTCCATCCCAAATATGTAAATATTCTTACAAACTAATTGACTCTGATTAATTTAATATCTAGTAGACTTTTTCTTCCACTGGCTTATCATACCATATTCACATACGTGGCATTCTAAGCATCTGTTGGTTATATATTTCCAGAATCATTTACCAATTACTCTCTATCCTAATATCTGTGTCATACTATCACAACTAACATATATGTTACTATTTGTTAGAGCTATACCCTTTAACACTTAGTATTAACTAATTTATTTATGTGAAATTTAAATATATATTCAAATTTCTCCTCTAGAACATTTTATTAGAATTCTATTATTCAAATTAATTTGGGACCTTTACAATTTACTATCGCTCCAGCCCTATGGGCGTTTGTCTTGCACGCAGCCAACATGGCCGACCCAAGTTCGATTCCTCTGCCCCTCTCGGAGAGCCCGGCAAGCTACCGAGAGTATCTCGCCCACATGGCAGAGCCTGGCAAGCTCCCCGTGACGTATTCGATATGCCAGACACAGTAACAACAAAGTCTCCAGTGGAGATGTTACTGGGCCTGCTTGAGCAAATCGATGAACAACGGGAGGGCCTTTACCTTACCTTTACAATTTCATTTCTTCAAGAACAACAGTCTGATTCATTAATCTTTATATTTTTATGAAGATTATTCTTGGGGTCATTAAAGGAGTTTTATCATAAGATTTTTTGCTATCATATTTGCGAATTAGTGGCTGCTAGTTTTGAGAGCAGCTACCACTTTCTGTGTATTTATTTTGAATTCAGCCATTCCTACATAAATCTCTATTAATACAACTCATTAATAAATTTCAGTAAATTTCCTTAAATTTTTCTAGGTCTGCAATCTAATATCTTCAAAGAGAATTCAACTTATATACTTCTTTTTAAATAATTTCACCTCACAATTCTTAGACTTTTAAGTCAGAATTTCTAAAACTCTGTTGAATAATATTGATAAAATAAACATTGTTATTTTGTTCTTGACTTTAATGGGATTGCTTTTATTGTTTTATAATTATGACTTTGCTGATGCCCTGCCAAAAAGACTGTTTTTCGCTTGACCACAGTTGCTGACTCTTTTCATTTCATAACTGTTCTTGTTCACAGCTGTTCTTGTTCTATTATGGTGGCATTAACTGTTTACACTATCTGGGGAGGAACATGGACCCTGACTTTCTTAGCCATAGTCCATAGCTTATAGGTCAGCAGTGCCTTCCAAAGAAAAACTCTCCAGCAGAGATAAACACTTCTTATCTATTTCCTGCTTATCATCTGTTAACTCACCACCTCTGAATTTTTCAACTAAAAAAGTCTATGTATATGTCATGTTCAGAGAGTATATAGTTTTGAATATTCACCATTACACTTGATTCATTCCAAAATAAAGTCAAATAAGATTATGGAGTAAAACTTAAAATTGAACGCAGCATAACCAAACAACAACAAAAAATAATTTACATATTTTTGAAAGTTATATTGTTGTCCGTTTTTTCTATTGAAATAAAACCGAATTATAACAGTGCATCATTTGTCACATATCACTGAAAATCAAGTACATACTACATTAAGATCACTGATAACATTTTAACTCTGTCCTTCAACACAACTTGTCCTCTTTATTTTGACTCATTCTCCTTCTTCCCACTCTACTTCTGGTGAACCCGAACTGATCTTATGAGTCCAGAAAGTTCATTTTCTAAAAATTCTGTTCACCTGTTTGTTTTCTATATATACCACATTATGAGTAAATCATGCTGTTTGTCTTTCTCTGTCTGGCTTATTTCACTAAGCCTGTTAACTTAATTTCAATCACTTTTGTTGCAAATGACAGGATTTTATCTTTTTCAAATAAACCAATGATACCTCCTTGGATACGCATAATATGTCTTTATATTTGTCAGTTGATAGACACTTTAGATCGTTTCTAGCTTCTGGCTAGCAAACTATACTTCCTAACTCAGTTTGGAACAGTAGAAATTCCTTTCCGATTCTTGCAAATGACTCAGTTTAAGTTTACAGCCTGGTATTCTTACCTTTGTCCTTTAAGTAAAGTCATCTTCACTGATTTTTTTGTGATGAACTGAGAGAATCATAATAAGATGGCTAACTAATTAATTGGAAACTAGATGTTGTCTATCATTTTCAAAAGTGAAAACTGGAGCACTTTACTTATTTGGCATTAGTATTCAGTGAATAAACTGAGACTAGTACCACAATATCATTACTTATTTTGGCAGAAATAATTGGGAAAAACATCATTAGTTTATAACCATAATAAAAAAAAATGACCAATGACTAAATTAGAAATAAAAACTCCAGGTACTTCCTGTTATAAATGTAATCTCAGAAAAATTAAAAGAAAACTGAGTAAATACAATTTTGATTAAAATACGAGTCATATTCCAATGTAAAAAGAAAATGAATTTATAAAAATGAATTATGTTTTATTGTTATAAATATATAGACAAGATATAATTAATTCTAAGCAAGATGAAAAATTACATATGCATTCCATTTTCTGAGACTTTCAGTTCCTTAATTTAATTTAAAATTATCTTTTAGAAAGAAGGAACACATGCAGAAATAAGTTTAATTTCTACACTTCAGTATTTGTGGTCAGGAAAGCAGTTCCTTCTTTTACTTTAAACCTTTTTTAGCTAATTACTCTTCAAAATGTGCATCTTATGTTGATTTCATGAACTGCTGCAAACTGTTTATAAGACAATGACAATAGACGTTTTAAATCTATTGTGTCTCTGAGATCCTCCATAGCAATTTAGCATATCTTTCTGTGCACTGAGTGCTACATCAAAAAATAAGAAATGGGGGATTATGTTTAAAATATTTTAGAAAATCCTTTTTAAAAAGCAAGTTTTTATATTCATGTTGAAATGGATTGGACAGAATGAAAACCATGTAGAAGTTCTTTGTTAGGCTTTAAAAGGAAATAAAGAGGTAGGAAACGTGTTTTATTCCAGTCTTACATATAATTAGAAAGATGAAAACATGAATACAAACACTGCAAATGAGCAGTACATTTTTAAGTTGTTCTTTCATTTTTCTAAATTTTTCTGCTGAGGGCAATTAGGACAATTTGTCCCATGTAAGGGGCTAGAGCGATAGCACAGCGGTAGGGCATTTGCCTTGCACGCAGCCAACATGGACAACCCGAGTTCAATTCCTCCGCCCCTCTCGGAGAGCCCGGCAAGCTACCGAGAGTATCTCGCCCACACGGCAGAGCCTGGCAAGCCCCCCCCCCCCCCCCCCCCCCGTGGCATACTCGATATGCCAAACACAGTAACAACAAAGTCTCCAATGGAGACATTACTGGGCCCGCTCGAGCAAATCGATGAACAACGGGAGGACCGTGACCGTGACCATCCTATGTAAAATCCAGTCCTATCCTTCCTGGATGATAATTTTTGTTTATCCATAAAGACATTTCTAAAGCTAGTTCCGTAAGTGAGAGGAGGGCCTGAAAGGCAGCAGCTGTCTTCTTAGATTTAAAAAATATATATAATGATTTTGGCCAATGAAGCAACCGAGTAATTGTTTAAGAAACGATGGGCTTGTCTGTTTTTTCCAAACTGCAGGATGAGGTTTGTGTAAAAGGTTCATTATCTAGCATACGCAGGAGTCAGTCACAGCATTCACTCCTATCTGTGGCATCTCCAAGCCATTGTCTTTAGCTTTCTTAACACTTGGAGAAACTGATGCTACACAGCATAAGTGCCACCTAGTGGTTAAAGGATCTTCTAACTGCATTAGGAATTAAGAAAAGAAATAGCATTTCTGGTTGGAATGACAACGGAAAGCTTCAGAGATGAGCAAACAGATCCTGTGGTGATAAACAGTGATCTTAAGAACTGGCGTCAGCAGCATGTTGGTGCTCTCATAGAACTGGAAGGCAAATGGCTAACCAGACCCTTAATATGTATTAGAGTATTGGAAGACATGGGGAAGAAAATTGTTGAGTAATGATGGAAAACTTGGGGAAAAGGTTGGTCTTTATCCTAAGGCAACAAAAAGCAGTAATACATCCATTAAATATTCACTGGGTCTGAAGTGATAAACAATCATGGTTCTAACCCTCATGGAACTTCCAGACAATCATAAAAATTTCTGACCAGAAAGGAATAAACAGTCAAAAGACGGGATTTGCCGTCCAGCTCAATCACTTACAGGAAGTTCTTTAACCTCTCATCTCTAGAGAAAAAGATAACTTCTCTACCTAAATAAAAAGTCTACAATAAAGAGGAAACTGCACAATATATGTAATATATATGCAGCACAGAGGGTAGGGCGTTTGCCTTGCACGCGGCCAACCCGGGCAGATCCGGGTTTGATTCCTCCACTCTTTTCCGAGAGCCCAGCAAGCTACCAAGAGTATGCCACCCACATGTCAAAGTCTGGCAAGCTACCTGTGACATATTCAATATGCCGAAAACTGTAACAAGTCTCACAATGGAGACACTACTGGTGCCTGCTTGAGCAAATCAATGAACAACAGGACAACAGTGCTACAGTGTTATGTATAATAACTCGAGAAAAGTTCTCAAGCTTTAAAAGTCTGTACAAATGGAGCATAATAATGATAATGATTGATATCAGATACTGGAAAAATATGCAGAGTAAATATTCTGATGTGGTATGCAAAATGGAGCTGGAATACCACAGATTAAAAACCACCCAAACCAGAAAATTATAGAATGTACTAGGCAACATAGAAGTTATCCGGTTTAGCATACCTGATATGGCAATCTTTCCTTTACATGCTATTCGTTCTTTATTTTCAAAGTTCGCATCACTGTTGAAAGAAAAATTACTGATTAAAAATACTGGTAAGTTTTTTCATATTTCAAAAATTCTTAAATGTTAAAATTTAACTCTATCCATGATCAATAATGACTTACAACTAATAAAACTGCTCGATACAAACTTTCAGATGTCAAGTTAGCTGACAAGAATCATTTTCTAACTTTTTATATAAACTTTATATTCCCTGATTTACATGCTGCTTATTCTATAATGAAAGACCATTGTGATCACTTATTTATATAAGCAAGATTACAATGTGTGTTCAAGTTTCAGGAAATATGGTTCATTATTTTCCAAATTACATTTCTATCCTATCAGATTACAATTGCTTAAAAATTTAAAATTAAAAAAAACTCTACTATATACTTATATTTTTCTGAAATTAAAAAGCATACTAAGATGGGGCTCAACGATAGCATAGTGAGCAGGGCGTCTGCCTTGCACGTGGCTGACCCAGGTTCGATTCCCAGCATCACAAATGGTCCCCTGAGCACTGCCAGGAGTAATTCCTGAGTGCACAGCCAGGAGTAACCCCTGTGCATCACCAGTTGTGATATATACTAAGAATAAATTTAGAGATGAAAAAGGGAGCGGATCTGTAGAGAACACAAAATGTGAAAAGAAAAAATGTGGAAAGTAAAATGCAATACCAAAAAAGTGCCAAAAAATTCTTAGGATATACGCCACTTTTAGGTATGCACCAGAATACTACTCTTAAAAAAAAATCTCAAAAAAAAAAATCTCAATGTAGTTATCTTCTAATAGACCAATCAACTACCCTTTTGAATATTTCTTCAATAAACTATTTTCCAATATACTGTATTTAGAGATGAGCATTCCATATTTAGAATATTGATTTCAAGACTACTTCTCATGTTTTTTTAGGGTGTGGTATTCTAATTTAATTAACTGCTGAGTAATTCAATGAGACACTTCAAATATGTGATAACATAGTAATTTAATTTGAATACTCTTTGTGCTGAACGTAACACTGCATTTCAGAAAAAAAATTAACAGTACACTATCATGCATCCAAATTTAGAAAAATGATTATCAGTATACTTTTTAAAAATTTTTCTCTTATTGCACAAGCAGTGATAGCACAGCAGTAGGGCATTTGCCTTGCACGCAGTCGACCAGGCCAACCGAGTTTCGATTCCTCCGCCCCTCTCGAAGAACCTGGCAAGCTACCTAGAGTATCTCGCCTGCATGGCAGAGCCTGGCAAGCTCCCCGTGATGTATTTGATGTGCCAGACAAAGTAACAACAAATCTCACAATGGAGACGTTACTGGGCGCGCTCAAGCAAATCAATGAACAACGGCAGGACAGTGACAGTGACAGTGCACAAGCATTTAAATATTATAGGTGAAATACATTCCAAGGAACTGGGGCCAAAGAGACAGTATAGGAGATAGGAAAGGCCTTGCCTTGCACACATCCAACCTGGAATTAATCCCTGACTGCACATCAGGTCCTCAGAGCTCTACCAGAAGTAATTCCTGAGCTCAGAGCCAGAAAGAAGCCTTAAGCACAGCAGGGTGTAACCCAAAACACATAACCAAACAAACAAAAACATAGAATTAAGCTCAGTAATGTATTTAATAAACCAAAATGGGACGATTATAAGGTATTTCTAGAATTGCAAACAAGTATAAACTAAGATAGTGTATTTAGAGCTGTGACTTCTCAGAATCCTGTACAATTACTTTATAGTCACACCTGCTTATTTAAGTTAAAATAGGAAGTTTACTCAAGCATAAAGTACTCAGTTCAAAATAATATTCTGTTGAATCATAATTTTTAAAATTTTTCATTTCAGCACTTTATACCAAAGTTTACTTTGCCATGCTAGAGAATATTAGCTTGCTAATCTAGTTCACCTTAAGAGTGGAATTTAAGTTTTAACTCCCTATTACCATACAGTCAAGATATACTTAAGACTCACTAGGAATAAAAAAAAATTAATTTTCTAAAATTCATGAGAAATAGAATTTAAATATAGTTAGGTAGCATTTAAAAATATTTCTAAAAACACCTATATGAGCAATGCATACTATAAATTGCTAAAATATTTTAGTAACACAAGCTCTAACATGGTAAATTGACTATTATGGTTTATGCTGAAGTATAGATCCATTAAGTATTAGTTAAATGGATTTAATGTGACTTGGCAAAGAATAGTTTTTTTCTTTGTAGTTAGGAATTATCTGCATAGGCATTTGTGGGACCAGTCACAGTATTACTGCATATAAATGTTACCAAATTATAATGTAAAATCTAATTGAACATATAATCTTATGGAGTAATTAAGTCTTTTTTTAATGAGAAATGAATTAAAGTAATTCAGTTTCATTTTTCTGATGCTTTAATTTTTTTAAATTCAAATAACTCTTCAAACATGTAAGTGTTAAAATGCGATGTTCTACTAATTAACCCAAATTAACAATAAATTTGTTAAATATTGTCGGTTTAATGTGCTACTGTTGCTAATAGTTTTCTACAGTTAAATAAATATTTGTTTGAAAATCTGCAATGTTAATGCCAATATTAAATGCTGCATAAGAGTCAGACTGGGGAAAAGGTAAATAAACCCAAAATGATGCAAACAAAAACAAAACTAAATAACACTGTACCTTATTCCTACTTTGGATTATTATTTAGGAAAGACGTGCAAATGTTAATTTAAAAGATACAATACAAAATATAAAGGACAATTTTTAACTTCATTATATTTCTTGCTGTAGGTAAATAAAACTACCAACAGAGGGTGCCAAACAGCCATTTTGTTGCTTAAAAATCTATATTAAAATTGCTTGAGTAAATGCATAATATCCTATATTGTTCCACATATAAATTAAAAAGTTCATTCCCAAAAATAACAAGCAATACTGATAAATTGCACAGCAATGGAGATATTTTGTATTTTCTAATGAAGTACCAAATTAACCCTAAATGAGATTTTATTACTTGAAAGCATATTTTCAAAAAGCCCTTTACCTTTTATACAAATAAAAATAAAACAATCAGAAATATCAAACATGAAATTTTAAACTATCTTAAAACTATGTGAATAAACTTAGTATCTTCATAAGCATCTTAAAATTAGGAAGGTAAAATTTCTATTTAAAAACAAATATTCCAACAGACACCAAAGACAACTGTTCAAAAATAAAACCTATAATACCTTTAGTGTGCCATTTTTTATTACAGAAATACCAAGTATACAATTTTCACTAGAGTCCTACGGTCATGGTCACTCCCGTTGTTCATGTTATTAAATGCCTTAGCAAACTAGGAGTAAACACACCTTTCTTAATCTAGAGCGGGCAACCGTAAGGACCATGAATGAGTGCCATACTAAATGCCACGTGACGGGTAGTCTGTCCTCTCCTCTGAAAAAGAGCCTCAATGCTTCTTGAAAACCTGGTTTCAAGGCTACACATTCCCTAAGCTGTTGCCTATCCATGAAGTTCTGTATCACTCTTTTAAATATATAAAATAATCTAGCTGGATAGAGCATTTTGGTGAGGTGCTCACTCTGCTGAGATTTTGACTCTCTTCTGGTTCAAAAGGGTCTCTTTTCATAGATCTGTTGTGAAACTTACGAGCTTTCTTTTGCATTTTTGTTTTTTGATCTCGCTGCTTCCAATATTCTGCCCTTGGTTTTTGTGGTTCTGAGCAGGATATCTTGGAGCTTTCCTAGTTGGATCTTTTTTCACTGGGACCCATCAGGCCCCCTTGTATTTAGCTGCCTATATTCCACAACTCTGGGAAATTATTTAAACTATAATTTTTTAACTGCTGGTTCTTCATCAAATTTGCCTTTCTGGTCCTTAGAGACTCCCGCAATTCTTGTATTGCTGTTCTTGAGCTCACCCCATAGTTCACTGCTATGCGGCTCATTTCTTTCCGGGATTTTTTCCATCTTCTGTGGTTTTCTAGGTTTCCTTCGTCTCATCTTGGAGCTTCTCAGTCTTTCCTCTGCTGCTAAAACCCTGCTGCTCAATGCTTCTAATGCCTTTCTGTAGATCACCTACCATGCTCTTCATTCCCACTTGGTTTTCTCATTTCAGCTCTTAGTTCCCTGTGCTTTCCTGTTTACCTGTGCAATCATTTCTTTGAACTCGTTACAAATCCTCAGTATGGTATCACTATAATTATCTTCTGAAGCTTTATGCAGCTGGTCCGTGTTGTTTGGGCCTTCCGTGTTATTACTATGATTGTGCCTTTCATATTGTTTTTGCTCATTGAACGTGGTGGGCTTCTACATGTTTTCCCATTGGTTTGCTAATGCTCCTGCTGGCTTGTGGGGTGAATCTCTGTAGCTATAACATCCTAAAAGAGACAGGGATTGGCCTGGGGGTTGTGTTTTTCCTTCTTTGCACACCTGAAATGGTGTGGCAGCAAGCAGAGCTTTGGTGTGAGTCCCTTAATATGTGTCCCTTAATATGGCAAGCAGAGTTTTGGTGAAGTCTATTGGACCTAGCTGGAAGGGAGGGTCTCTGCCTCTACTTCTGAGTAGCGTCGGTAATCTTAGTCAGAAATTAATCTCATCTGAAAGGATGGAGCAGGAAACAGAGGTTCTGAATCTTTTGTTTAATTTTTCTGAAGTTGTAGCATATAAGCAATAAAACAAGAAGCTAGTGAGTAAGAAATCTAGGTAATCACAAAAAAGCGGCAGTTATCTTGACATTATTAAATAAGTCACAATTAGGGTCCAGAGCAGGTAGGGAGTTTGCTTTGCATGGGAATGACTCAGTTTTAATCCCCAGAATCCCACAGGGTCTCCCAACCACCTCCAGGAGTAATTTCTGAGTGAAGAGCCAGAAATAACCCCTGAGCATCCCCAGGTGCAACCCAAAAAAGAAAATAAATAAAATAAACATTTAAAAGAAAAGAAATAAATAAGTCACAATTATGCTGAATACTATGCACATCTAGGTCCTATACAGGACTTAAATAGGATTGTTTTTACAAAGGCAAATAAA